TAATGTGTTTGTATACTTTGTTCTTTAAATATACAAATATATAAAATGTATTATCTAAACGTGGTGTAGGGAAATCGAAACGTGATCGTTAAAAGTAATCTACTCATCATTTTAAGAGTTCATATTTAATATTATATATTTAATAACTAATCGTTACAGCTCTAAACATTTTAAGTGGTTTTTGACAACTGAAATTATTTTTATACCGAAAGGGGTACTTAAAAATGGAACCAGTTTTTTTTTTCTAAAGGATCCGCCACGCTACTTGGCACAATTATTATACTCTGTACATGAAATGTACAAGCCGATCCAGCCCTGTCTGTCTGTCTGTGCGTATGAACACCTGGTTCCCAGAGACTAGAAGAGCTAGAGAGACCAATTTTTATACCCTGTACCCGTAGGGTAAAAAGGGTATATTAGGTTTGTGCAAAGTATGTAACATGCAGAAGGAAGCATCTCCGACTCCATAAATTATATATGTTCTGAATGTTCTGAATCAGCATGACGAGAGAAATCGATCTAGACATGTCCGTCCGTCCGTCTCGCCAAATTCTCGCCAGTACAAACTTGGTATATAGATGCTCCTAGTCCCTAAGCTACACGGGTTTATTTTATTTTTTGTGAATTTTTCACGCCTTCCCCCGCTACATAATTTTATTAATACTGTCCACATTTCAAAAGCTACATTAACTACACATAATGTATTAATAAATTTCTACTTTTGTTTGAAATTTCATTCAAATCGGTTAATTCTAAGAAATGTTATTATCGAAACAATTTCACTCCGGTACTACGCCCACAAACTGCAGCAACAAGCGCATATACCTCAGTGTCGGAAGTTTGTCTGGGTACCACTGTCGGGCTTGCTCGACTGTAGCGTTCTTTCTTGTTGTCAGCTTGTTGTCAGCCTATATTTGGAATACGAATACTACAAACATAATTCAAAAGTTCTGAAAAACCCATTTATTTGTGCAAGCTTATAGGGATATGAGTACCAAAGAACGAAAAAAGAAGTAAACCTGAAAAGCAAAGCGGGCTTACATTTTCCAATTGCATCCTTGGCAATGGCGCAGCTAATAGAGCGCAGCATAGGCAAAGAGAAGATCGGGGGAACGTATTTACCAAGTGCTACAGTTGTCGGAAGTGCACAAATATGTGCACAGCACTCGCAGGCGACACACGGGAAAGTTGGAAAAGTTGGAAAAGTTGCGATTGTTAATGAGAAGGCAAATATGTATGTACGCACATGCAACACTGACTTACTTGGGCTGCGTGTGTGAGAGTGTGAGTGCACTTTAAAGATAAGTGGCACGCTTTTTGGGGCATTGCATGTTGGCCGAGTTCTGATGCCAGTTTCATTAAAGCAAGCATACCAATGTCAAAGTTTCGAGTTTTATGCCAAATTCGTAGTATATTTTATTTGAAAAATTCCAACTCTTTTCTTTATGAAATGCCATGGGCCAAATACAATTTAAGCCCGAGGATGAAATGTTGAGCAATGAGTTGCTTTATGTGCGGGCTTATACCAAATACAAAGGAACTAGTGGGAAGCTTGCCAGCAAATATGATATAGTGCTTATGGCGCATAATATTCGAGTGGGCTGGACTAAGTGTTCAGTTTTCAGAAAGAGCTTCTCACACATAGCTTTCAAGTTTTGTTTTAGTCCAACGGGTAAGTTTATTTAGAAAGGATTGCTGAGATGCTGAGAGGGGATCCTAAATTAATGATTTATTGCTAAGATGAAATGAGAAGGGAGGCTCTTAGATTGTCCTGATCGAATATACAATTTCTTCTTGTTGTGTACTTAATTTATTCTGTAACTGAAAAAATACGGAATATAATTAATTATGTCTATTGACCAAGAATATGTATGGGCAGAACCCGAAAAAATATACATATATTTTAGATCAGTATAACGAGAAGAGTCCCTATAGCGGATTGATATATTGTATTAATTATAACAAAATTGCTTCTCTTGTAACTTTCGGTACGATTAGTCGAATAAAAACAGAGATATAACTTTAAGTATAAGCCACGCTTACAGAATACAGAACTTAGTTTATGTACCTTTGGAATTATGGATAGTTTTATAAAATATTCGATATCGTGGGGTAAATAAAAAAATGAAATAAACTCGACTAGGATCCACCAAGTTGTGTCACTATTAAGTTGTTTTCGTAATCCCGACGTTCTTTGAGACAGGCGGACGGTCACCTCTAGAACGATTTATCTCATTATGTATTTATCATTGAAGTCTCTACAAGTAATTGACTATCCACACAAGCTCTATGATCTTCAAAGGCAGAATAGGAGTCCAATTTATTACAGAGAATTTGGAAGTTCTTTGAACTATCCACAACACGAGTCCAATCGAGATCGATGAACTGTAAAGCTGTTCTCACAGGATCAATCTTCTTTTGCTATAGTTTATCATTTACAGACATACTATATCCTTGTTTCTGTTTACGTTTATAAATGACCTTCAAAATAACATTTTCATTACCATAGCGACTGACCTTTTTCGTTTTCACGAAGCTAAATGAAACGCAAGGCTCGCTTTTAATTAAAACGATTAGCAATTCTCATTAAACAATCAGCAAAAGGTCGTTTGGTGTTTGCAGTCAGTCGCAGCGCTATTAAATATGCAGCACTCTTTCTGACTACAAATGCTTTAATTACGCAAATACACACACACACACACACACATGCATACAAGGGCGAATAGACCCACACATTGACATGAGCTGGTTCGGAAAAGTTTCTCTCCCTGTATTCATTGAAACACATTCAAAGTCGCCTTTCATTGTTTGCACGTCTACTTTTCAGCATTTTAGACACCAGCAGAAATATCGCCAACGAAATCAAACGGAAGTTGTTCGTTTCGCGCGAGAAATAGAGAAGTGTGGGAAAGCGGGGGAGAGGGGCAAGTATATGGTGGGAGGACTGGCTAGAAATAAAAGAAATTGGTAACGAAATGAAATTGTTTACGAATGTCAGGCACGCAAACTCTCGACACTGTGGCAATTTCCCTATTTTCATTTTTTCAGCCAAATGTCGACCGCAACTGGGTGGGAAAGTCAGACGTCAGTTATACATAACTATATAGCTATGCTTCTAGTTGTGGTTGGGTGTTTCGTTTTATCCTTAGGGTTGGGGCACATCTATTTATAGCGATTATTTTACTTATATTTGTGCAAGACATCTACGACTTCGAAAAAGAAATATAGGTATAAATATTTGCACTTTTCTTTTTTTAGTTGTTGGTTCGTAGATAAATATCTTCAACAAGTAAGTATGAGGAACTTGTTTTTCCAATTGAAACCTTTAAATGAAATAAATATTATATAACGCCGACGTGGGGGCTAAATTAAAGCACTACTTTAATATAGAGCATTATTTTCTTTACTTAGAGAAGCTTTTGTTAATATTTAAACGAATGCAGCAAACAACAAATTAGTCGACATTTTAGATGTTTTATTTTACACAAAGCTCTTTATACCAATCATGGCCAATATATCCAAGTAACGTAGTGGTTTTATGGAAGGAAAACAGAAAATGCCGATGAAAATATTCAAGTTCTTCTAAATTTGTGAAGAATAAGAATCTTAACCCCAGATTAATTTGCTAAGCCCTTTGACAGACAGAGGGATCTCATCAAGACAATCTTGACCGGCAACTGCCTGGCCACCCACCATGCACGCACAAGTGTCCTGGCCATTGCGCCAATTAAGCTTCGGCCAACTGGCTCTTTTATGCGCCGTGGCGCTGTGGTGGCTTTTTGTGCTTCCTCGAGCGCCACCAACATAGCTTAAACTTTTGTGCTACCACTTGACTTTGACTGGCAGCTGAAAAGAAAAAATTAAATACAAAATACGGCGCAGGCAACATCGGTGGAAAACTTTGCGTCGTTATGCAGGAGGCAGCACTTTCGTTAGCGCTGGCAATAAGCCTTTAAGCAGCCAGAGGACGATGGTAGCGAAGGGGGCAACAACCTTCACCTCCCCCTCCATTTGCAGCCCCACCTGCTCAGCCACAAGCTTCGTGGGCGCTGATCCGATGGCAGGCGCCATTGTGGCTGGAGGCCCGCATTAAATGTCAATTGTGGGCGGGTAATTTGCAGGCGCAATCGTAGTCATAAAAATTGAAGGATAATTGATTGGCGTTCATGTTGTTGTTGCCATTGTAGCAGGAAAGAAAGTTGGGCACTCGACATTGACGCACTTGCGCCACTAAATTAGTTGGAATGTAATTTTAGACACCATTAAGTTGACTTTATGTGCTTGTTAAGGGGACTAGTCTTGGGCTGTGTATTCATCGATTTTTATTTGGCTGGCGCTTGATGGATGAGCGCGGCATTGCACAGTGGCACAGTGGGTTGACAATCTTTAAGAAATCTACTTGAAGATCTTAAAACTATCATGTGTGATAATAGGTATAGGTATGTATACCAAACATTCATTCCCGGGCTATAAAGTTCCAGGGAAAATTACATCTTTTTTACTTAATTACAATTATTAACAATTTAAGGGTATTTGTCCGACTACACTAGAGATATGAACATGTTATCCAACGTTTCTTCAAACTTCATCAAACGATATTCAAACAAATCAACTTTATCTATTAGTTCCTTAAAATCATTTCCCTAATTTTATTTGCATTCCTGAATTCCTTGGAAGGTTATATCTGAAATATTCGTGAACTTTAGCTTTTCATCTGATTTTCATTAGCATTACATATATTTATAATAAATGGGAAAGCCTTTGCATCGCTATATACTTCCACATGCACCATATACATATATATATTGTACATTGTACAAGTATAATGCCTGCCTGTCGGCCTACCCGCTTACCCGGCTACTGTTGCTGATGACGATGATGACATGACAAAGTTTTTAATAGCCAAAAGTTTCGTAATTTAACTCGATTAACGCGAAACGCGAAAACTTTTGTAATATGCCACTCACTTGCAACTCTTCCTCGCTTTGATTCCTTTGCAGGCATCTCATCGCTATCCAGCTGCGGAGATCCGGAACGTCTGCCCGAACTGCCGCCGGGTGACGAGCAGCGTCTACAACGCGCAGCTCTACATTTGCAACAGAAGCTGATACTTCGTGAGTGGCTGCGGGACCATCGACTGCAGCACCATTATCAACGTCTGTTGGCGGTTGAGGTTGCCTCTCTGGAAGACGTTTACTGGTTGGAGGATTCGCGTGCTAGCAAAATACTTGGCAAGGATTGGCAAATTTGGTCGGCGGCCCGCCAAAATCTGCCCACATCGAAGGCGCAGCTGGACGCGCTCAAGGCGCAGCTGTGGTCGACGGTTGTCAAGTCGAGTCAGCATCAGGACGCGTGGACATGGGGTGGCATGCTGGTGGTCAGCGTCAGTGTCGCCGGACTGGTCACCCTCGCCGCCATGACGCAGCCCTCGCTGGCGCCCGAGGCGCGTCACTCTCTGCTACAGTATGTGACTGGAAAATATTTGCTACCTGCAAATTGTAAGGTGCAGTGGGACTGGAAGGATCCCGCCCAGGTCGGCGGCACCATGTGCTTTGTGGTGCGCTTCTTTCAACGCAATGGACAGCCTTACCCCATCTGTGATACGGATCAGTTTTTCGTCGAGGTCACGGAGGGCACCCGGAAGGTGGTCACCATCAGCGAGCTAGGCTCCTCCACAGACCCGAATAATGCAAACATTGCCAAAGTCAAGTTCACGGTGCGCACTGCGGGCCAGTATAAGATCTCGGTGCTGATCGGCGCCAGTCACATCGCCGGTTCACCTTTTGTCAAGAATTTCCTGCCCGGACCCATAGATGCTCGTCGTTCGCGCTTCATAAGACCTGCTAGCACAGTCATTTGCTGCGCCGGCTCACCCACTCTGATGCACATTGAGCCACGCGATGAATTTGGAAACGCGTGCCTGTTCGAGCAGAGTGACGACGCCCTCCAGGTGAGTTCGATTTATCGGGCTACTTACAATCAAGAGTGGACCGTTAGTAGAAGGTCGGCATCAATAGTTGTTCCAACTTGAGGAGAAATTCACCGAACTCCTTGGAAAGAGAACAGGCATTACATCTCCGACATCTCTACGAGACAAATATATCTAGACAGGTCCGCCCCGTCTGTTGGTCCCTCGGACTAAATGAGCTCTTTTGAAGCCCACTAATAATGACTAATCATGATATGTACAATCCTCTAATAATCCCACAGCAACATGAGTTTATTTTTTGTTATGCCCTGTACACGAATTGTTAAAGGATATACTAGAAAGTCGAAAAGCTACTCGTAAATGTGTGGATTAGGGTGAAGGGCGCCTGCATGAAAACACAAATCAATATACGCATGTCCATGTCCGTCTGTATGAGCAGCGAATACTTTTGAACCACAACAGGTAGAAACACCAAACACACCCAGGTATGCAGACTTGTTGTATCCATACAAAGAGCATGTTTTCTACAAGCCATATACACATATAGTATGTAAGCAGGCGGTATATAGCGGAGTCATGGCTCGCTGTTTCACGATTTGATTCAGCAGTTTGTCGTTGCAGTCGTTGTTGCAGTTACAGTTTCTTCGTTGTAGTAGTAGTATATGTATGTACAAGTATAAGCATACAACATCATTGTTTAACATAAAACTGCCTTACGCCACCTTCTTATTAATAGAACAACTTCCTATCACTGTTTATCAAGATATCTTAAGCAATCAGTTTTATAGAAAGGAATGGTGCCAAAATTCAACTTGTACACTTTTCCAGAATCGGACTTAGTACTTAGAACGTTTTGTTTTATTGTTTATTTTATTTACTGCTAATTTCGATGTCGTACCCAAGCTGGGCTTTTGTAATAGGTCCTCATCATAACGTGGGGTTTGGAAAAACTTAGAATTAAATCATATAGCTGTAATAGGGAGGATGCAACAAAGTTTGGTTTAGTTCGAATGTTCTTCTTCTTTTACGATTCTACTTTGCAATCGTATAACCTTTCACATAAACAGTTGCTCGGGAAATAGGTATGTACATAGGAAATTTAAACATCAAATATTTTGAATATTATCGATGAAAACTACTTTCAAACCAATTGGAAGCTTTTAATTTAAATGATGATCCCATAAATGAAGCATTTAATTCTATAGGAAATGGATATAGGCATATCATTTCACATTATGTCTTTTTTCTTGATTCTCATTGCTTTAATCTTGATAACAATTGTTATACAGGGCTATCAGGTGGCAATATACGATCTGCATGGCGTCGCCGTCGAGAAGCTGCATCATGCGATAGCCTTTAACTACGACCGTGTTAATTCTCGGGTTTCTGTTACGGCGCTCTTCCCGGAACCCTCGTGTCTGCGGGCTGTCATCAGTTACTTGGAGCAGAAGCTGCCCAATGGCGACTTTGACATAATTGTGCTGAGCAGTAAGTATCATACAATACTATATAATATATCACTATACAGTATTACATAAATCTTTCTCAGGCAGCGACACGACTCTGGTGCACAAGAACATAGCCTCTCGCAAACACAATATTTGCTACGAGGCGAAATTGCTGAGCATTTACGGGGCGGCTAAGAGCAAGCCTCGCAAGGTGCTCTGCTATGTGGGGCCAAAACAGGTGAGGCTCCAACAACTTATAAATGTTTGTGTGTGAAGTGTTTTGTGTGTGCAAAAGCAGAATTCATTGATCTTTCAGGTGACCATAAAGGAAATGATATTGAAGTTCATACCCAAACGCATTGCCACCTTTCGGCTGTGTCCGTCGACCAAGTTCCACTTTTTGCCACAGTTGGTGACTCAGCTGCACGGCCCGGTCTTCATCATAGACGATGGAGCCCAGCCTCGTATTGAACTGGCCTCCAGGGATCGCAACATCATTGCCGCCACTTTCACGCACTTTCTGCTCAAGAACATTGGTGGCTCGGAGACCTTTAAGGATAAGCAGGACTTTTTCTATCACGAAGTACGCAAGTTCCATGCTAGTTACTATCACGAGAAGATGACGTTGAAGGTGCAGCGGGAAAAGATATTGGAGAGCAGCATGAAGGCCACCAAGGGCTACTCCGTGTCGGATTGGTGCGGCAATTTCGAGGTGACCTTTCAGGGCGAGCAGGGCATCGATTGGGGTGGTCTTAGGCGCGAGTGGTTCGAGTTGGTGTGCAGCGCCCTCTTCGACGCACGCAGCGGCCTCTTCTGCACCTTCCATGACAAGCATCAGGCACTGGTTCATCCCAATCCCACGAGGCCGCCGCACCTGAAGCTCAAATATTTTGAGTTTGCCGGCAAAATGGTGGGGAAATGTCTGTTCGAGAGCGCTCTGGGTGGCACCTATCGGCAGCTGGTACGGGCTCGTTTCAGTCGCTCCTTTCTGGCTCAGCTGATTGGACTTAGAGTGCACTATAAGGTCGGCACCAACCCCACCTACAATTGCTTAATTTCAAGTCTAATTTCATCTTATTTTATTTCAGTATTTTGAGCAAGACGATCCCGACTTGTATTTGTCCAAAATCAAGTACATCTTAGACACTGATTTGGATGCCACAGATACGCTCGAGCTGTATTTTGTGGAGGAGGTTTACGATGCCAGTGGGCAGCTGAGCAAGACCATCGAGCTCATACCGAATGGCGCCAAGACTCGCGTGACGAATGCCAGCAAGAACCAATACCTGGATGCTTTGGCACAACAACGCCTTTGCAACAGTGTGAAGGACGAAGTAGATAGTTTCTTGAAGGGGCTGAATGCCATCATACCCGATAACTTGCTAAGCATTTTCGACGAGAACGAACTGGAGGTGTGAATGGCTAAGCCTTTTTAATTGAATTATTTGTACTAATTAATGGCATACTTCCTCCACCTCTCCTTGCAGTTACTGATGTGTGGCACTGGCGAGTATTCAATAACCGACTTCAAATCCCATCACATTGCCAACGGTAATTCGGCGGAGTTTCGTCGCGTTCTGGCCTGGTTCTGGGCGGGCGTCAGCAATTTTAGTCAAACCGAAATGGCGCGTCTGCTGCAATTCACCACAGGTTGTTCACAGCTGCCGCCCGGCGGCTTCCAGGAGCTTAATCCGCAATTTCAAATAACGGCTGCGCCCACTTTTGGCAACTTGCCCACAGCGCATACATGGTAAGCACTTATGTACACACCAGTATATATGTACCCGCATATGTACATATGTATATCGCTGATGCACACACTGGCACTAACTTTCGTAAGGACAGAAAATCTATTCCATTACTGCAAGCACAGTATTTGTGGATGATACCAACTACTATGTGCTATAACTGTTCTTTTTTTACACGAATTTGATATAACACGGTTTGAAAATGAAAAAATTGCATATATATTTCTTTAGATATAAGGAACCAATCACCTATTTGTGCATATGATCAATGTCTTTTTTTACACGGTTGTTTCTGGAACCAATCTACCGTGTAAAAACAGAATTAGGTGTATATGTATTCTTGTCTGTCCGTCCGTATTATCACCTAGATCTCAGAAACTATAAGAGATAGAGACACAAAATTTTGCACAAAGATGCTTTACGTTATACGAGTTTTATTTTTAAGATTTTCCCCTCTAAGGGGGATTTTCAGAAACGCCGTTCGTATAATCATCTATATCGCAGAGACTTCTAGGGACTAGGGACACCTAATTTTATTCCAAGATGCCTTATATGTGATAATGTGAATTTTAGAATTTCCCTTTTTCCCCCTCTCTTAGTCTGACATAGACACAAATTTAAATTTATATAATTTGATAGCAGTAGCATTTATGTTTCTAATCGACTGAGTAGCATTGTATAATGACTGCGTAACATGCATCTTCAACTCACCACGTTCCATTGCAGCTTCAATCAACTTTGCCTGCCCGACTACGAGAGCTATGAGCAGTTCGAAAAGTCTCTGCTTTTAGCCATCAGCGAGGGAAGCGAGGGATTTGGCATGGTTTAAAGGATCTAATTGTCTCCTGGCATCTCTGACTCTCTACGGCTGATGTTTTTTCTAGCGTCTACTACTGTGTTCCTGCGCTTTATAGTACTTATATAAGTAGTATACATATGTAATGCATATTTACTAAGTATAGTAGTTTGTAAAGCCGCGTAGTGATATAGATATTGATTTTTGATCGGGCAAAAAAAAAAAAACACAACAAAAAAGCACATTAATGTGCCAGTCTGTCAACGCTTTTTCGTTGCTTTAAATGTTATTATTGTTGTGGCTTTTTGTGCAAACACTTTGAAGCAATAATTAAATAGGAATAATGTTAAACACTAAAGAGCATAGTTTTAAATCGCGTAAAAATGAAAATGAATATATCATCATCAAAAAGAATGTGATATTTGTATTATAAAGTAATGCAACTTAATGATAAAGATCTTTATAAAATTATCTCAAGTATCGTCCCCTAAAACAACTCCAAATGCTAAAGAGGGCAATAAACCAAATGTTTGTATTTGTATAGTATAGTATTGAATACACAAGGATCGTAAAGCATTCCCAATAAACCCCTGAATAAGCAATTTATTGAAAGATTAAAGCAATGTTAATATGCATTTTAAACAAAGCGGCCGTTATTAAGGCACAAACTAAATAGTAATCTCTAAAATTACGCTCCTAAACTATTTGTATAAGCAATATTTAAAATTAAAAGACAAATAATTAAACCATGATGTTAAATTGTAGTTTTTAAATGTTGTTAAAAGGCTAAACAATGCAAAACATAAATCAATAAAGCCAATGGAATGTAGTTGTTGAAAAGTGTAATTTCGAAAATCCAAAATAATAAATAATATCAAAAGAAGTAATAACACGAATATTTCAAACTGTAATTATTTCGCCATCTTGGATTACAGTAATAACATAACATTACAGTAATAACATTTTCCATCTAACCTTCAAGTGACTGTCTCACTCTTGCTTCCAACAATTAGGTAGCGCTGCCAACCGACAGATGGCGCCAGCGACTTTAGTCACTTTCATTCAATTTGAAATATTTCTACAACGTCGCAAGATGGTTCCATGGTGTAATGGTTAGCACTCTGGACTCTGAATCCAGCGATCCGAGTTCAAATCTCGGTGGGACCTGGTGAGAAATCCTTTTTTTAACTTATTTTTTAAAAATTGAATATACTTAATTTAGAGCGGAAAATGATAATGCTATACGTTTTTATTTATTAACAGCAAATGAGCTATAAAGCTGAAGAGTGTCCATTTTGTAAAAAGTTTGAGTCCTTGCACCAATTCCAAACTCAATAAATATAGCATTTTTTTTTAACCCCACTTGCCAGATGCACACAGATACGTCTTTTACATTTTGTTTACCCATTAGAAAATCATAAAACACAGATTTTAGATGACTGGTATTCAAAATACATTCTAAATGATGTTACATATTTTTAGATGTTCAACGATTGTTGTAGATTAATACTTGTAGTTTATTTATGGCACAATAATTCCGTTTTCATTTCATTTTCGAGGGAGCAGGCGTGTTTTGTACCTTGATGTGCAAGTTTGTAACACTTATAAGTGTTGTAGACCACATACTATACAATAACAACTCCTCCCTAAGTTATAAGTAGTTAGTAATGCTATATGTTAGACCACTTCATTGAGGTTCCTTTTTTATAGCAACAGTTAGTGCTTATGTGTCCGTGTGCCAAGTTTCATCATGATAGGTCAAGAAGAAAGTTATAGCCATAAATAAAATCGCTGCCCATGCGCTGCCTGGAGCTCTGCCCGCAGCTGCAGTTGTTGTTGCTGGACACTTATTGAAGGAATAATTTACTTATCCGCCACATCGTTTGAGGAGCACAGTCCGTCCACTGCAGATGCCAAGCTGTATTCCGTGGGCCACCAAAGACTTCTTAGATATTAAGTATGCTTATGTGTTACCTACAATGTCCATAGTTGTGACAATTAACGCTTGAACGCAAACCGGAGCCACGAGTGAGAAGCAACTTTCTTCGCGCGGGGTTCCGTAGACCACGCAATAAGTGTGGTCTAATATTATAAAGGGGGGCCAGCTACCGTGCGCGTACTCGTTGTTAATGTGATATTGCTAAAGGTCACATGTCGAAATTTTTGGGTGGCAGCAGAGTGAATGAACCCGTTTGGTGGTAAGTACTGTCTTGCGCAAGAGCAGCCCAAGGCAATGCGCTTCAAGCATTGCGGAAAATTAACCAAACATACTGCTCGTAAGACAGACAAAGTGAAAAGTGTGTCCATCAAGCTGCACTCAAATCTCATAATTATTCGGCTTTAGTGAGAGTTTTATGCGTGAGTGACAAATTACAGGCAATCACTTAACACAGACGAGCAGCCGTCTGCGTAGACGCGTGCGCGTTACAATGTCTTTTATTATTAATTTGTGATATCTAATTAGGGTATGAAAATATACAAATCTGCCCGTTAAATAGCAGTTGGACTTCGCCTCCGTTATATTGACGGAGAAAGTAGGAGTACTAAACCAACACCAAACACCAAAGACCAACACACAAATACTGTCACTTTTTAGTTCAGAAGAGCCCTGTAAAGAGTTCAAGAAGTGCAAGTCGAATCTCTCTAGGGGGTCATCAGAGACCAGAACCTTGAGCACCTATGTAGATAGTAAAAGCACATTAGCGTAAGCCGATAAACTGTGCTGGTACACTGTTCGAAAGTCATTTAAATCTTGTCTCATAAGTTGTTCACAATTCAAGAAAAATCCATATAACTTGTTTAGCAACAATCAGTTAGAGGCCATACCTTGGGGGATATGATGTAATTATGTTTCCTCGTGGAGAGTCCTCTAATAGACTGTCTTATCAAAAGTACTCAAAGAAAGGTGATTTGAACCTATTTTCGGATGTTTAGACGTTGAATATATTCTACATAGTCTTATCTTATCCATTTCTGCGCTTGCTGCCAAATATTTATAATAAAAATTAGGTATGAAATCAAACTGCTTTTTACAAGTAAGTAGTACTGGGAAAGCTATTGATCTGATTAATCTCCAAATGTTATCAATGATTACAAATTTATGCAAAAATTTAAACAACTATTACTGCCTTTAATATTAAAGTTAATATTTGGTTTTTGCAAAATGAACTTTGATTATAATTTCAACTTGTATTAATATTTGTTTGTTTTTATTTAGCTGTGCCAAATCGAATTGTTAAATGGCTTGGAAATGAAAGACAAATATGAATATTGCTATTTTAAGATTAATATTTTTGTTTTCTATTTTTGTTATTTGATGTGCAGGCGAAGCAGATCTTTGGCGGAAAAGAATTTTGTGGAGCTTGTGTGTTACTCGAGGAATATTTCAGATTTTTATTTAAGCCATTCCAAAGGACTCCTGTTCTTTGTTAAACAAAAACTACTTCGCATCTTGCTTAGTGACTTTTGGGGCAAGCTTAGGCCCACTGACTGCCAAAAAAATAATGTCACCGACTTACATGTACATACATATAGTATATGTATGTATGTATATGCTCTCATATGCCACTGAACAACAAGTAAAAGCTTAATGCGTTCGCATTAAAAAAAGTGAAATTTTTCGGTCCGACTAAAATGAGGAAAACCATAACGCTTGCTGTCCAGTAAGTACGTATATTAGTCATCTTGTAGGCATATGAGAAGGTCGTTCGCACGACTTAAAGCCAGTACCTGTACAGCAGGTAATTAAAAATTAAGCAGCCAGAGAGAAATGAAGGCACAAGGTCTTCCACATACTTGTAGAACATTAAAAACAAATCGCGCTACTTTCTAAGCAATTTACACAAGAATTATTTCAATTATTTTAATTGTATTTTATTTGGAAGCACTTTGCGCTGCATTCTTAAAATAAAAACAAGCACTCTATAATTAGAATAAATAGCTTACGAATCTAGTCAAATACGATCGCTTAGGCCTATGTGGCAACTGTGGCAAGGGGCATACGAGTGCAAGAACTAAGCATAGATCAGTCGCACTTGGAGGCCAGAGTGCACATGAGGGTTTTGGGGCAGAAGAGCAGACCCTTTGAGCAGGTCATCTTGTGACCCTTCATCTGACCCTGTGCGTTCTTATAGCAAACAAAGTAGCTGGCTATGGATGTTTGATCCGGTATTTTGTCCCCCTCCTTGCAGTAATACTTCCGCTTCTTTTGGCTGCTACTTGAGGGTGAGAATGTGGGCGCAGATGTGGGTGCAAACGAGGGTGCAAATGAGGGTGCAGCTGTGGGCGCTGTAGGAGGCGGCGGCGGCGCGTGTAGTGTCGGATATGCAGACAGAGCAGGTCGCGGCGTGCTAGCCGAGAGAACGGAGGGCATGTTGAGCATATAGGAGTCCAGCATATCCTTCTCGACGCTGGTAGAGGCAGGGGATGGCTGCTCCTGAGAATTTGAGGCGCTGCCATATTGCTGAAACAGGTTGACCAGATTTTGTGCTTTCAGAGCCGCCTCCTGACGTCTTTTCGCCTCGGACAAGACCTTCAAGGCCTCCATTTGCAGTCGCTTGTTCTCGTTAATGGAGTAGTAGGTGCTCACGAGCGGCAGATTTCCACACTGCGCATAGGTCTGGGCATCGCAAATACGCGTCTGCGTATTGAACCCGGTGTATGGGGGACACGAGTAGGAGAGCACCTTGCCATCCTTCTTGCTGCACACAAAGTAGCGGGTGCAGTCCGTCACATTGGGCTGACGCACTCCTGCCTGGCAGGTGATGACCTCCACCTTGCCGAGCTCGGAGAGCGAGGCCGGCGAGCGAGTGAGCAGCGGAAGAATGGACTTCTGAAAGACATCCAGACTAATGAAGCTGCCGTCGAAGTTGACCAACTGCTTATTATGGTGCTGGCCATTGCGCAGTAGAGTGGGCGGAAATTTTGGCTTGACAGGACTGAAGTTGTTAGAGATGGGCGGCAGGGCGCTGGCGAAACTGTTGCTGAAAACATTAACGCCCAAGTTGCCGGCATTGTCGTAAATACTCGTGCTCAACGATGTCGTTGATGGTCTCGGCATATATTGGTGATTGCTGACCGCATTCTGACTGCCATAATTCTGCTCCAGATACGAAGAAGATACGGACGCAGGTGCTAATTGCTCGCTCAGGTCTGACGTCGGTTCCATGTTGCCGCTGCCGCCGCTGCTGCTGCTGTAGGTCAGTACATGGTGCATGTTGTTGTTGTTGCTGCCAGTGCTGCTGTGGCGATTGTTGTTGGCATTGGCGTTAATAACTTCATCAGCCTCCACTTCCATGCTTTCGATTTTCTGTGAATTGGGACGTATTTTCACTTGACCCGCTTCGAGCGGGGCGGGAAAAAGATTGTGAGAGGGATACCTCTGTCCCGCTGAGGATGCCGTTTCCATGGGCCTAGGCATGCTCAGCACATTCATGGTTGGGTAGCTCTCTGTTTGAAAGACGCGATTGACATTATGGTCGTTAAGATGAGGACTAGGCGTGTAGTAATTGGCAACGGTCGCGGGGGAGGGCTGCTGCTCAAAGGGTCGCGGGGTGGTGAGCCCATATTCTGAAGCATAGGGCGCTCCATATTGTCCCGAATAGCGTGTGGCCATCGTAGTTACAGATATAGTAGGTCTGGCCGTGGTGACAGATGCGACAAACTTGTTGGTATTGTAGTAATTGTTGTTATTCTGATTGTCTAGATGATTATTGTTATTGTGTTTGTCTGCCCCCGGAATGGATGGAAACCTTCCCAGACTATTGCCATAGCTGTCCATCATCTCTTTCTCACCCGAATTGGTGGTCGATACGTGCACGGGTATTACATTATTGTGAATAATTGTGGTGCTGGGTTTGTTATAATCGTTGGAGGATGCTCCAGACATGTGATGGTGCTTTTTGTGTTGACTGTACTGTGGTGGTTGTTGCTGCTGTTGTTGTTGCAGCTGGGGGGCGTAATATTGCTGGAAGGGATTGCCCTGTGGTGACAATATGACGGGTTGCAAAATGGGCGGCGCGTAGTACGCGGGATTATAGGCCGGATTGGGCAACACTTTTGGTAAATTCTGAGCTGCTATCATTTGCTTCGAGAGCTCCAGCACCGTCTTCAGTGTTTCCTCCGATATCTTCGGCTCGTTACTATATTCGTGGCTGTTTAGATGAGGATGGGGCATGTGCTCCTGCGGCAATTGCTGTTGCTGATCCGGCATTAGTCCGTAGTGGGGAAGCGTGAAGAGCACCGACCCCTCTGGTCTGTTGACCACAATCTGCGAGTTGGTATAACCCGAGCCCGAGCCGCCTGGCATTAGACCGTAGCCATTACTTAGCACCACTTTGGTCTCAGGTTCCATGTGATGATTGCTTAAGTGCTCCTGCAGCCGTGTCTTATTTGGCGAGGGAGTGGGCAGCTGGGAGCTCATTGAGGATGGCATAGTCGTCTTTATAGTTGTAAGGGGCGCTTGTGTCGTTGAAGATATAGGCGCGGCTTTGTAATTGTCCATGGGGTTCATCGTGTCGAAACGATTTTTAATGTCAAAGTGGGCCAGGAAGGCGTTTAGTTGATCCGGTCGCAGTTCCGTCTGCGGCTTATCTGAATTCTGGTAGGTTTGCTTGAGTCCATCAATCAGTTGCGACAACCTCTGCAAGTGCGCTGTCAAGTTGGGATCGATGGGTGATTCCGGTGTGGGGCTCGGACTGGGGGTAACCTGCTTTAGCTGCGCCTGCAACATCTGCACTTGTCCCTCTTGATGCTGGCCCATGGGTAATATTATATCAGTGGCTTGTTTGCTATGATTACTCATATGCTGCTCACTTTCACGGTTCTCTGCCTGCAGAAATCCATCCAATTCCACCAGCTCGCCATCTCCGCTGGAATCGAAATTGTTAATGCCACTTATCTGGCTCTCGTTGTCGTTCGGCTGTGCAGTGGACTGCGGTCTTTTGCCATGGTGCTCTGCATCCTCCTCAAGCTCCTCTTCACTGCTCAGCATGCCATCGAGCACAATTTCCACATTTTCGTCGTCATGCTTATGTGACTCTGCAGATGACTCCTTGAGCATCAATCCCGCTCCATTTCGATCGCTCACAATAATAATGTCGTTCGGTTTCCTTGTAGTCGTCGCCAGTTCGCTGGCTGACAGGCACTCCCAATCCTCACCAGGGAGCACGCAACTGCCCACATTGTGTTCGTAGACGAGGCCCTCGTTGCATTTGGTGGGTATCCAAACGTGCGAGTTGCTGGGCAGTTGGCGACACCTGTAGTACGAGTCGCAGCGGGTTTTGTGGGGGCGCGTCTTTTCAGGGCATGGTTTACCTGGGTGACAAGCAGAGGAAAAGAGAAAGAGCAGTCAGTGCACAGATTGGAAACATAAGCCGAAACAGCAGCTGTATATACAAACATATTTTTGTATATACTACTTAGTGTGTATAAACAAACTCAAGCAATAGCTCTAAGCGATTCTAGGTAATTTCGACTTCAAACCCAGTTCAAACTAAATATGAATTGATATAAATATAACGATGTCTTTACACTTTTATTAACAAACAACAATAAGTTCGTGATTTATTAATCTTTTTCCATTATTGAAATGGGTCACTAAATATGAGAATATTCAAGGATCAACTGAGAACATTTGATTTGATGGCCAATTTCAATCAACTTGCAGTTTCTTATAAAAGTTGTATTGTATTAAATAAAACATTATAATACATATATTGAATTGAAATGTTTAAGAAATTTAAAAAACACGATAAACTTGTATTGCTCGAGCCTTTGCAGAAATATAATACAGTCTCGCCTGAAAAGTTCAATACTACAATTTTTTCTGCTAAGATGTTCATTGGATGCTATGTAGATGTCCATTTTTAAGTCCACGAACAGCTATACCGACTTTGCAACCGCAAATCAACAATACATTTTCTTTTCTTCAACTGTGCAGTGCACTGCAGTGTACGCTTTTAGTTTAAAATTTTCAAAAATACAATTTTTTTAAATTTCTTTTTTACTACGGTTTTTGTAAATGAAAAAAATGCTTTTTAGCTATCGGATCAGTTTTAATTTTGTTTTGTTTTTCGAAATATAAATTCAATTTTTTCTATAATACAAATATTCGAGCACTTTTGCATGGTTAATTGGTTTTAATTGTACACAAAACTTGTAAAGTGTTTTTCAGAATTTTCATCCAGACACTTGTATGAATTATCAGCACTTTCAAATCAATTTGCAACACTCTTGTCGTACCTTCCGAAAAGTAAAAGAGGCCGGCCAAAATAAACGCGTATATCACAAGGCCACGCATACCGCATGAACTAAATCGTTAAACCAATGGCAAGGGCTAAAGCACGAAAAATATCCTTGCACTCGAAACGTAACCGTTAATCCACCGATAGATAATGCACAAATCCGTTAGCTACAAACGTTACTTCCGCTACAGAGCTCGCGACACGAATGACTGCACATCCAACAACTAGTCAACATTAAATTTTAATAATTTTCACTTTGTGCCGCAGTTCTCGTCACTGTCACAGTGAAATGTGAACACGTTCGAGTCGTGCTGAAATTCGACCAAAGTGTGAAATAGCCTGGCCATTTCTTTTTTTTTAATAGCTACATCACAAGCTTGGCGCTGGCTTGCTTACATTGCTCTGCTCTCCACTGCTCTACACAAATAAAAATTAGTTTAACATGTTCTCAACGGTGGGCAACGGAACCTGGCGTTCGACGCTTTAATTGTTTGCCTTAACAATTCACTTGTTGCCATTCATAATGATGATGATAATAGAAATGGGGTGGGGATAGACTAATTTCACTTTTTATGTTAAAATATGTAAATGAAAAACAAATAAACAACTACAAATGTAATTTCAAGCGGTACAAGTTATTTTGCAATGTATGAAAATTTTCGCTTTCCTCTATAAATATGTATTTATAATTATTTGTAGTACCATTTTGTTATTATAGCTGAACGATAGTTTTGCTCAACTAACTGTTTCTTATGTAGAAATATATCTAGCCATGTCCATACATCTATGTCTTCGATAATAAACGTCCTTGCTTCGGAGACGGCACTTTATTCAATTTAACAGTGGCGCCGTCGACTTCAATACTGCTGACCGATAGATTAAGAAATCGGTTTGCCTATTTTGGTATTTTTCTATAACGTCTTGTTGTCTTGTTGTGAGGCATCATTTGATTAACTACTAAACTACTTGTACAATCAAAAAATAAAAACAAATTTGTCGTCTATTGTATGGAGATGTAAAAACGGCCTGGCTGAAATGTAGTGAACAAATTGAAGTAAAAAATAATTTTGAATCACAACACACGAAATTATTTAATATGTTTTAGCAGTTAAGCTAGCAGCATAATAGTTGTGGCAAATGATGAGGGGAATAGTGGCGCCGCCTACCAGACGTCTCTGAAGCTTTATTTTAGCTGGGTGGTAGCACTGCTGTTATCGGACACAATCGATATGTTTTTCGACACCTCGATTGTATATTCACCAACTAATTCTGCTGCTTAGCTCGCAAAAAAAAAAAACAAATGTAACAAAGTACATTTTCCTATAATTGTAATATATGAAGAGCAATTTAACGCCGCGACTGCAATGAGAATCCGGAAGAAACCGGGGATTGTGAATCACTTGTGAATGTTCGTGAGTTTGGCAGTGGAACGAACTAAAATTCTGTAAAAATATTAAATTACATAAAATTGTGGCCAAATACCTGCACAAACGTGCACCGTGCAAAATGCCAAGCTAAACCAATAATACAATTGTGCAGTAGAAGCTCCCGCGAGAATTAAAACGAATTTCGTTGAAATTTTGGTGTTTTTTTTTCGCAAAAGCAGACAATCGCGGACCTCACGCCAATTAAGCAGTCAGCGAGCGAACAGCAAGAAGGTAAGCAGCGTAAACGAAAACGCTTAGGCAGGTAAAAAAGCAACACAAACAGTTAATACATACATATACATTGGTATGGATTGTTTGTGGTCATGCAAAACACCTTTGTGCATTGGAATTTACGTAAATTCCCGTGTGTGCAGTGGAGTGGGGGCAGTGGCAAGTTTCGTGGAGCAGCGTCAGCGTTTCGCGACCTTTGCCTCAATTACAAACAAACAGAGTGACACACATACACCAACAACTGTGTTAGCTTTTGACTTCTACATACACACATACAAATCGACATGGATGTGTTTGTAGGAATAAAATAGTGGCGGTTGTGCGTGTACTGCTTGTAAGAATGTTTGTGCCTTACTGGGCTAAATTCTTTTCTATATACATGTATGTACACACACACTACATATGAACATATACATATGTATATTTATGTGCATACATATGTGCGCGAGTGCTTAGTATGTGTGTGTGGGTGTCAGGTGTCCCTGCGCTAGTGCAATGACAGCCTTAAGTCACCCACCCATCCTCTACCTTCACTATTTTCAAGTTTCTTGCGTGTGTCATTGCATTTTTAATGTAGACTTGTATGTGGGTATGGATTCCTTTATATGTACCCAATATACACACGTTCCTACATATGTACCGATGTATGTGTATGTGTAAATGTAGCTTTTATTGTTGTCACACTTGCTGCTGACTACTTTCCGTTCTTTTCGCTATTATTTTCGCCGCCTGTGCCTTTAGCTGGCCTGGCTAAGCACGCTCGTGATAAGCAGCACTTTTGCCAACCGTCTCACTTATACTACTTATCATACATTGTTTATTGAGTGTATTTGTACGAGTATGTGTTACTGGTATTGGTACGTGTACAAATCATTATCATAAGGGAAATGTGTGCCGCTGTGACGGATCGCATACACATACATACATATTTACTACATACACTATTCCCACAGCTGCCTGCTGATAAGCCGCTGCTCTCAGATTGGGCGTGCAAAAAAAGAAGTCGTTTTTATACTCATTTAAAGGATATACATACATACATACATTACGTTCCAATGATGTGTCTAAATTGTATACATAATGAACACTCCATGTTTGCTAACCTGTTCAGCAATAATATATTTTGAATATATGTATGTATGTACGTATTGAACCACTTGCTATTAATGCTAACTGAGCGCACATGCAAGTTCACGTGTAAATTAAAACCACACCATACAAAACTGCCATATAATAATAAATCTATTATAACAAGCCCTAACAGCAGTAGCAACAACAACAATTGTTACAATATCAACATTTAAAAAATTAAATGCCGAGCTTGGGCGTACAAAAAACCGAGCAGCAAAATTGTTAGCGAGGGCCTTGCAACACAAACAAAAACATCGAACAATTGAAAATATGAATACAATAAGTACTTTAAGATCCATACGTATAGTACTTCGTCGTATCTACGAGTATAAATATATAGTATATCAAGCTTCGCCGACTTATACTGTTGAGTCATTTGACGCGATTATCGTGTAAAAAGGCTCCGATAAAATGACCGCCCGGAAAAAGTGCAAACCGCTGTTGTAAATGAATGCCAAAATTTAATAATAACCTACATAACACTCTTATTTGTGCATATGATTGATTTTACTTGGGACATTTTTACTTGGGTGCTTTTTTAATTTCGCTGATAATAAAAACATGGCCATGTTAAATATTTTAGATTAGTTAAAAATAAAGAGCCACGGTTTGTCATGCGGCACGGGCATTGCCATCGCAGTGGAATCGTTGCTTGGATGACAAATATAACAACATTATACAATAATTTTGAATCGCACGCAACTGCTGTAAATACCAAAACAACAATAGAAAAACTCAATATACAATATCTACAAAAATATTAAAATGAAAGTCTGTATGTTTGCTTGAAGACTTAAAACCGCTGGTCCGATTGGCGTCAAATTTTGATATGCTGTTGTGCACATGCCAAATTGAACTATTACAATCCGTTAGTATGGTAAAATCGCGGTGAAAAGTTCTACATACATATATGTGTTTGTGTATGTGTGAAGTATAGAGTTGGGCCAAAGCAGCAGCACCAGCAACAGCCACTTTGGAATAGATTTCATTTCTGCCTATAATTTTCTTTACAACTGACCTATCGTGATAAATAATTCAATAATAATAATACGCAAATTAGGGTTCAGGGGAACCTGAATACCTTGCTTGGTTACTCTAGCTTTGATACTTTCTAAGAACCTTGAGTTCATTAAGAACATGGCTACACATATCACATTATATCATTCACAAACGATTTAATGTAAATATTGGAAGTAAGCACGGGATAGAAATAAATTTTTTTTTTTAAATTTTAATTTAAAAAAGAATTAGGTCTGGATAGAAAGGGAAAGCTTAAATACGCATCAGAGCACGCAGGGTAGTAATCGTAGATATATACGTATGTGTGTACTATATATCAATTGCACTAGCTTAAGTACAAAATAGCTTGGGACGTGATGAAATAAGTCTCCCAGATCCTATGTTATTTGATGCCATTGACGTTATGACAAGTCATAATTTTTCATCCATTGCTATTAAAAGCCAAAATTTCATATCTTGGGAACAACAGACGAATTAATTCAGCCACATAATTGCTGCTTTATATTAATTATTTATTCACTTTGCATTTATTTGTGCATTTACTTAAATAAATGCTGTTTTCTTTATTCATTTCTTTGTTTCATTTTCTGTGTTAGTCGGCGATCGCGCAAAATATGTTCCGTAACGTTATCTAGGTTTCGAAACAACACAAGTCATCGTTACGCTTTGTAAAACATTCGCTACCCTAATTAAAAATATTACTAGCATTATAAATTATTATTAATGTGAAGGAGTCACTTCCTCCGAAATGACAGGAAATTTAGTTCGTATTTTGTAGAATATATGCATGTAGTAGTATGTGTGAGGAAACGTACATAGCATGGTTATATATTCATAAATACATATAGTATATCGCAGTTGAGGTTTTTCCTGAGGGTTAACTTGGCCATCTCCCATTTGGCTAATAGCAGTGTTATCAGACAGACTTCCCCACTTTATCATCTCTGCTTCAACTCAGCTCCCACAATCTAATCTTTCGTGCGCGTAATCTACAGCGTATTATTTGGATGTGTGCGTATTTCTGTGTTATTTTGATAAGCTTTGTATTGTTGCCAAAAATTTTCAGCGGCACTAAATAATTCTCATGTTTCTCTTTTGCTCAACAGCAGTTGGACGTCACGAAAAGGCCAACAGGAAGAGGCGAGGGCTCGCACTGCAGTGTGAGTGACCACAAGGACATATAGGCCGACCCTTGAAAGCCTTCACAGAAAATACAGAGCGCACAAGAAGCGACGAGCCAACGAATAAATGGCCGATGGAAATGGGCTGTCATCAGGTGCAGCTTCCGGTGTGGTTGTGGGAGGGGGCGGAGGTGTTGCTGGTGACGGTGGACAGGCATTGAATAACTCGTCCTGCAACACTAGTGTCTCCAGTGCGGCCACAGGCATGAGTTGTAGCAGCAGTGGTGGGGGCGCTGGCAGTCAAGGCTATCATCAATTGAGCGTGACAAGTGAGTATCCAAAGTCCACCTGGGAATCACAGCACTTGCTGAAAATTGTTAACCATTGTAATTATTTTATTTATTTACCAGTTGAGGAGGCGTCACTGCGCAATAATGGGTTCCTGAAACCAAACCCATATGTCGAGCTAGTAATCGATAGCAAAAGCAAGCGTAAAACAGAACTGGTAAAGAACAGCTATCTGCCCAAATGGAACGAGGAGTTCACAGTGCTGGTAAGAGATTCTCTTAATTGCCTGATATGTGACTACGAAGTCTGAAATCCGAAGTGGTGTAAACCTAAGATTCCAAATAAATAAGCCTCTTTTCAGTAGGATCCTATCGAATTTAAAACTAAGCAAAAATACAAGTAGTTACGACAGTCAATTAAACAAAATTAACCTTCAATGACTTCATTAAAATATTCCACATATTATAACATATTTTTTGGTATCTTCAGATCACGCCCAATTCGACGTTGCACTTCAAGGTGTTGGACCATTCCAGTTTTCGCAAGGATGCCATGCTGGGTGAGCGGGTCATCCATTTGGCAGACATACTGCAGCACTTCAATGGTCGGTGCTCAGATTTAGAGCTGTCCATTGATCTGTTCGTCACAACGAAGTCGGAGAATCGGCAAACGAAAAGCGGCGAGCTGGTGGCTATTCTGAACGGATTAAAGCTGGACATGAGTAAGTTAGCACTGCAGAACGGCAATGCTGGAGGGGCCACTGCCATGGCAGTTAATCCAGCTGTGAGTGAAGCTGCAAGCTCAGGCCGCAGCTGTGTCATTTATGGAGGAGTGCGTGCGCGTATGCGGCTCCACTGCAATAATGTGAATGAGAATGCGGCGCCTACACGCTCTCCCATTGCCAATGGTAGTACTGGAGACCAACAGCTGATGCATAGCATGCGACGTGGACTGGCGCCGCCCGTGTGGGAGCAACAGCAACCCCAACAGCAGCAACAACAACAACAACAGCAGCAACAACAACAACAGCATCAACAACAACAGCAACCACTGCGTCTGGTCAATGGCAGCGCGGCGGCAGTGCCGCAAACTGCGTCCTATCCACAGCAGCCACCGCCCACGACATCGCCCGTCACTCAACGTCCACTTCCGCAACTATATGCCAATGGGGCGGCCATGCAAATGCCGCTCCAGCAGTCGCCCGTCGTTATGGAAAATGGAGCACAGGCTACCGCTGCCGGCTATATGGCGGTGACGGGGGCTGTAGGCGAACAACCGCCCAGCAATGTTCTGCCTGTGAGTAACGTGGCCGATCCTCAGTTGCAAACACAGCCCGCTGATGATGAGCCTCTGCCTCCGGGCTGGGAAATAAGATTAGATCAGTATGGGCGTCGCTATTATGTGGATCACAATACACGCTCCACCTACTGGGAGAAGCCAACACCCCTACCTCCGGGCTGGGAGATACGCAAAGATTTGCGCGGACGCGTTTACTATGTGGATCACAATACACGCAAGACTACATGGCAGCGGCCAAACAGCGAGCGTTTGATGCATTTCCAACATTGGCAGGGACAACGGGCACATGTAGTGGCGCAGGGCAATCAGCGGTTCCTCTATCCGCAACAGCAGCAGCAACAACAGGCGGCGCAGGTGACGCAAGACGAGGAGGATGCTCTCGGGCCGTTGCCCGATGGCTGGGAGAAGAAGGTGCAATCTGATAATCGTGTATACTTTGTAAACCACAAGAATCGTACAACCCAGTGGGAGGATCCGCGGACACAGGGTCAAGAGGTAAGCCTTATTAATGAGGGTCCACTCCCGCCAGGCTGGGAGATTCGTTATACAGCGGCTGGCGAACGTTTCTTCGTGGATCACAATACGCGGCGTACCACATTCGAGGATCCGCGACCCGGTGCGCCGAAGGGAGCAAAGGGTGTGTATGGAGTGCCGCGGGCCTATGAGCGCAGCTTCCGCTGGAAGTTGTCACAATTTCGTTACCTGTGCCAGAGCAACGCTCTTCCCTCGCATATCAAGATTACGGTCGCTCGGCAAACGCTATTCGAGGATTCCTACCATCAGATCATGCGATTGCCGGCCTATGAGCTGCGCCGGAGACTCTACATAATATTTCGTGGTGAGGAGGGGTTGGACTATGGTGGCGTGTCGAGGGAGTGGTTCTTCCTGCTATCGCATGAAGTGCTGAATCCCATGTATTGTCTGTTCGAGTACGCGAACAAGAATAATTACAGCCTGCAAATCAATCCTGCCTCCTATGTAAATCCGGATCATCTGCAGTACTTCAAGTTCATTGGACGCTTCATTGCAATGGCGTTGTATCATGGACGCTTCATCTATTCCGGCTTCACCATGCCCTTCTATAAGCGCATGTTGAACAAGAAGTTGACCATCAAGGACATTGAAACAATTGATCCGGAGTTTTATAATTCTCTAATTTGGGTGCGTGACAATAATATTGATGAATGTGGTCTGGAGTTGTGGTTCAGCGTGGACTTTGAGGTGCTGGGTCAAATCATACACCATGAGCTGAAGGAGAATGGCGAGAAGGAGCGTGTGATAGAAGAAAACAAGGAGGAGTACATAACACTTATGACGGAGTGGCGCATGACGCGGTAAGTTTCATGTGCTTAGCTGGAAATGGGAAAGGCTAATAAGTATTTTTTGTAATTATAGTGGCATTGAGCAGCAGACTAAAACATTTTTGGAAGGCTTTAATGAGGTTGTGCCACTGGAGTGGCTCAAGTATTTTGACGAGCGTGAGCTGGAACTGATATTGTGTGGCATGCAGGATGTAGATGTAGAGGATTGGCAACGAAATACCATTTACAGGCACTACAATCGCAATTCAAAACAAGTGGTTTGGTTCTGGCAGGTGAGTCCATAAAACGCGTTGGTCAAGCATTAAATTATATACATAATGTATTTGTCTTCCTCTTGCTTAGTTTGTACGTGAAACAGACAATGAGAAGCGGGCCCGTCTGCTGCAATTTGTCACAGGCACCTGTCGCGTACCCGTCGGTGGTTTTGCCGAGCTCATGGGCTCAAACGGCCCGCAGCGCTTTTGCATTGAAAAAGTGGGTAAGGAGACGTGGCTACCGCGCTCGCACACCTGCTTCAATCGCTTGGATCTGCCGCCATATAAGAGCTACGATCAGTTAGTTGAGAAATTGACCTTTGCCATTGAGGAGACTGAGGGCTTTTGCCAGGAATGAGTGGTGGTGGATTTGTGGTCGGTTTGTTGATTAATGTTTAATTAGTCGCGCATCGTCCTCGTCGTCTGTCCTGTGTTGCGTTGATAGTTACTGTTATTATTATATTATTATTGCATATATTTAACCTTATTGTATTGTATGTATTACTATATTATGTACACTCTATGTTAAGGCCGCCTCGGGTTTCCTATATTCAACACTTACTTCTAAGCGTCTGTTCCACAAAAGCGCTGGCTCAATTGCTGCAATCGATTGTTAAGTTTCCATAATTTCCATTAATTTTTAATGCACATTTCATTCACACAGCTTAGTGTTTGTGTACCAATTTTAAACTAAATTTTAGAAATCAAATCAGGCAGACTGTCCAGAAACAAGCGAAACGAAAGCTAAAAAGATACATACCTATGAATAAGTATATATCTAAATGTATACTTACGCATAAACCTGAGCAATAGCAATGCTGCAACTAATTACACACTTTAAGAATTATTTTATTTAAGGTTTTATTGTAAATAATTATTTGAAACTGCTGCTTCTATTGCTCACTATTCCACCACAAATCATTGTTAACACACAGAGCATAACTTTACTATCCAGAACACTCGTACATCGCCGATATGCGCGCGTGGCAAGCTTGAAGTCGAACTAAGTACATACTTAGGTAATGTAAAATGCAACTAAATAGCGTTAAAGGATAACTGATTTTAATTGTTCAATTGTTCACAACTGTAGCTCTAAGCATACTATGCATAATCACTATACAGAAAAATTTATTTTAAACAAAAAAAAAACACAACCAACAAATATCGTGCAAACTTAAAACACCGGATATAAAACAAACAACTCATAACTAAATGATTTAGTTCGTAAAGACAAGTAAACCATATATATACAAGTATAAATACGACATGTATGACTTCATATAGCAATAATTGTTGATAACAAAATGTAGTTACAAACAATTAGCGCAAAGCAAAACCGTATGTAATACATAAATAGGGCAAACTAAGGGCAATTCATTGTTAGTTGTAAACAGAAATCACAAAATGCTACGTTTATTGTAAAATGTCGAAAATGTTGCGTGAGGCGTGGCCGGAGGAAGTTGTGTAAAGCAGAGTGGCGTCTAAAGTTGATATATAAATAGATTTCAATTAGTTTAATAAAATGTACTGTATTAAAAAAAATAAATGCAAAATTATTTAGTGATAGTCTCGTTGTTTTATTTCTTTGCTTAGTATTACTCCTACAAAATAATTAACAAATTACGGGTCAAATGGGATGAAACAGCAGGGACATATGAAGGGCACATTGCTTTTGATAAGACGAAAATAGGCTTCCAAGCTATGGGTTTTATGAAATAAAATACGTTATGTCGAAAATAATCTCCTTTCATACTATGCCCTCCGTGCGCAATACTTGATTTTTTTTGTAGAAATAAATCTAAATGTATTTAACTATCTCAATTTCGCGTGGCTCGTAGTGTTGCATTCCCTCACAAAAAATATGGATAACAATGTTACTGCATTGAACGATCTTGTGTTCTGAATTAAAGGAAATAATACATATTTAATGTCATGATGTGTTTATTTATTTCATTTGGAGGCAACGAAGAAGCCACACTCCGGCACCGGGACCCGCAGTGCGGCATCCATTGCGGTTGATTCATATACTTTGACATGGAAGAGAATTCGCGATGATAAAGGCGGTCAATGATAATGACAACAACAAATACATGCCATCCACTCAGCGTCCGCGACGTGCTGGGAGCCTGCTGCTGCTTTTCCAGCTATCGACTTTGGCCACGCGCCACATGAGGCAACTGCCACAAACGTGCACCTTTGGGCAAAAGCCATTTCCGTGCAGTTTTAAATGCAACATGGTTAGCTGAAGAGAGAGAGGGGGGGAGTATTATGAATTTATGAGCAATTTCAATTTTGATTTATCAATGTTGGAATCCAAGTTTATTGAATTTTTAAGGTCTCCGTGTAAGTTTCAAAGTTAAACAGAAGGTTCTGAATTCCACTTCAAACCAAATTTTAGTTGGAATTGTAGAATTGTACAAATTGTACAAACATTCCTCAATAATTAAAACTTGCTACTTATAAAAAAATCAATGTAGAATGCTCTACAACCTTGCTTAGTAAGCAAACAAAAATTTCCATCACTATTTTATACGTGCATAGCAAATCAAAATGAAGAAAAGTGGAGACAGCTCCTTGCTGAAATTCCTGGGCGTAGTATTGGACTGAAATTGTTTGTATGAAAAGGTCGGAGATACGCAAACATGATATTCCCTTTTTACTCTTGGGGTTGAGGTTATAGTAATATTATAATGTAATATTAGAAATGTGTGTTATGTATCCGGGGATTAAAAAATAAATAAATAGATTCCTAATAGGCACCTCATCTGTCAGTCCGTCTTATAAACACAAGTATCCCAGGAAGAATGAGCGCCACTTGACAAAAACAAGCTTGTGTTTTTCCCTGATGCATCTCCCCACTCCCTCCCCCATTTTCTGTTAAGATATTTGTATTATTATATTATTATTATATTACACTGAATTCTTTTTTTACACGGTAGATTGGTTCCAGAAAAGCCGTGTTAAAAAACCGTGTAAAAAAAGACAACAAATAGATGATTGGCTCCTTATCTCTAAAAAAAAACAATGCGATATGTTAATTTTATTAAATCACATATACTTGTATAATGTGCATAACGACCCATATAAGAATGGTGTGTTTTTATTTATTTATTTTGTGTTATTTTGAATCGTGATAAATGCTAAATGGAATAAAGCCGTGTAACCATATGTACATATATACTATTTTTAATTTTCAAACCATGTTAAATCAAAACCGTGTAAAAACAGAATTAGGTGTATATATTTTGAATATTTAATAATACTCGTCGAACTGGCATAAATGACCATACGTGACACCGTATATCACAACGAATTTGTTCACACCGAGGGAAAGGAATACTGTTAAAGCGTATTAAAGCTTCGGGCAAGAAAATGATAATATTTGCCCCTGTTGGTACTACTGCTTGAGCGTGTGTAAGTGAGGTGTGTGTGTGTGTGTGCTGTGCTCTCCGCAGGCACTGCTGGTGGTACGCGTTCCGCTCCAAATTTAACAAGCTTCTTCATTATTTATTGCGGGAAAATTGCAAAAACGCAGCATCCAAAACAACAGATAAAAATCGCAGCAACAACAACAACAAAAACACCACAATGGCAACCCATTTAACACCATTACGAGATGGCGCCGCTACTGGGCGCCACACACAGGCTCCCACCTGACATTGTACTATATGTTTCCATGGCCATGCCGCCTTTCCATTGGGATTGGGCGACAGCGAGAGCCCAACTAGAGCAGCCTGCCGACCCTTCTCTGTTATTTGAGTGAGTGGGTGGGTGTCTGTGTGCTGTTTTGTAATTATAATTATAGTTACACACATACATACATACATAACGTAACGGGTATGTGCACTTCACAGTTGACAACCTGCTGCTGTTCAATGAATTTGTATATTAATTTAAGACTTACTACTTATAAATTTACATACATACTTGTACATACATATGCATGCCGTAGTGCCGTCGTCACCTTAAACACTAAACAATTATTTGCATTTGCCTTATAAACTACATAACAAATAACTGTTATCGTTCTGTAACTATTATAGGATATACTTGGACGATTTAAATGAGTTCAGACATTATTTACGTATGACATAGACGAATACAATAAGGATAACATAAGGCAACCTCTTCTGTCTACAGAAAAAATCCATTTAACCTTAAAAAAGTAAGTTTTCTAAGTGAAATCGAGTTTTACAATAATATAAGTATGTTAGTTTTTGAGATCTCATCTCAGGGTCTGACGAACGATCTATGTATGTATGTATGTTCTATACGAAAGCGGTCATCCCTGATCAGCTTTTCTACAGCTTTATTATTATTGAAAAGTTATTTTGTAATTAATTATATTAAGCTTATACTACAGTCATATAAGATGAATACAGAACTAGTTGTAGGACACAGTGAAGAGTGGGATTATAAGTATAACTTCGAAGCATGTAAAGATAACTTTTTTGTTATTTGTTCCAAATGTTAGTACCGCTAATGTGTACTTAATACGATCTGACGCTCCTGGCCATTTCAAATACTATTTATATAGTTGTAATAGAAACAATATTATGCAGAACTACTACAAAATGTTGCTGTCATATTCCGGTTGGGTCCCAAATTATCGGCGGTGGTGCATGCATGGATATAGTTAGTAGGATATATGATGTAGATGTACTTAGTAGGACATATATGTACATATATTCCATAATTTTTATTTGATAGGTCTTATGCCTCTGACAAAAGATGGCTGTGATTCATCTCATAGGAAATAAAATTTCCTCAATGCGAAGAAGGTGTTACGGGATAATATAATATAATATAATATAATATGCGATAATAAATCAAACTACTACATTTGCAAGGGTATACCTATGGCGTACTCATATATAGTACATAATTGTGTACAAAAGGCCATGTGTGTAAATAACGGAAGCTTTTTTTTTTTTATTATGCATGACATTTGTGTGCAGTGCTCACATCAAATCGATTTTGTTTTGAATAATGCATAAATAATTTATTTAGGGCCTAAGAACGAACAATATGTACATATGTATGCACGTGTGTATGTACAAACACATATTTATGTCGCATGCCAAATTATGAGGTGTTAATAATTGTGGCATACGTGTTTCCATTCATGCATATTTTACAACATATAATTGGGAAATTTTCACACACACAAACGGAACTCATGCTTTGTTGTCCTGTATTTCATTAATCATAACCTTATGAGCGAGTGGTACATATTTTATTTGTATAACAGGTCAGACAATTACGTATGTACTTATACTGATGTCGCGTCAGCCATATACATAACTCGCTATTCAATACAAAATAAAAAAAAAAAAACTACAAGTAAAGCCGGAAGGATCAAAGCCAAACTTCTTAAATTTGATGTTAATTTTAGGATGCAGTATTTTAGACGTTATGCAATCATCTCCTTTGAACTATATAACAGGAAAATTTACGGAATTATTATCACTATTTCAAGTTCTTTATCTTGATTTCCATTTCATTACGCCACAATCCATAGCATCACACAAAATAATTCTCGAATCGCTAAATAAAAATAATTTACAGCGTTTTGAGATATTTTCGTCCCTACATTTTTAAATCATTTAATGTACGGTATTTAAATACCATAAAATGGGATTAGTTCCTAATTTATCTGCTAATAGTACAAAATGATATAGCAATATTTAATGTGCTTTTCGGCTTATAATTTTTCCTTTTATTCCCAATATCATTAAACCTTTTATTTTCTAGTAACTTTATATACAAATAAGCAACTGAAAATAATAAAGTGAGAAATCTTACAGCACTTAATAAGGGTTGCATTCACAGCGAATGGCAAAAAGAAGAAGAAGCTTGAAAATAAAGCGCGAATACCAAGCAATTGCAAATAATAAATAAACTAATAAATATGTCATTTTCAAAAGTGGGCAAATGCTGTACAAGCACACCCTCAAAGACGTATCCGCTTCGCGTACCAGAACTGTTAGCTGACTTGGGCCTATCGCCTTGGAGTTGGGGGAACAGGTGAAGTGAAATTAGCTAGAAAAACAAGCCAAAAAATGAAAGAGCATTCATTTTCAGAACCCCCATTAATGTGCCCAGGAGTGTTGATCTCATGCCCATGCGCACAAGGGAGATTGAGCTTCGTTGGCCGTCAACAAAGCCGTCCACCACATCGAAATTGGGAAACGTTAACGAAAACAGGACTCATCTTAAGGTTCCTGGTTGGAGAGGCCCTGCGTCCAAGCCCGGAAATGAGACTAAAATAAGGCGAAGTCTGTTTGTAGTCGAACGACACGCGGTTACACCACAAAGGGACACTCAGTGGATACAAGATACAACAGAACGCATTGAGGCCTACTTGAAGCAACTGGGCATTCGCCAAACACTCTTCCACGGAAGTTTGCGACAAATGTCTACGAAACAATTTGTGGCAGTAGTTAATCATTTCCTACGCTGCGCAGGGTGTACGCAAATTGCGCTAGATAAGGGAAATCACATTGAAAGCTTATTGGTTGCACTGCGGCAGCTTCGATATCCTCATAAGGTTAACAGATCTTGGCTCTTGACGCCAACTGTAACGCATTGTTTTGGCTATGTACTAATGATGCTCGACTTCCTCATGGATTTCGCGCCTCCTCCAGAGGCGGATTCACAGGCCGAATTTGCATTTACAGAAGACACGCTGGACGAGTTCATTTTTGGCAAGGCCGTGAAGTTGTTCCCTATATATCAGGCGAACAAATCGAAGCTGTGCGATATCTTGGACCAGGATAGCGAACTTGCGGAAATGAAGTCAAAAAGCCTTGAGCTAAAACAGCTGAAGGCAGAAGAGAGCGGGTTAGATGCAGATATTATGTCGCGCAGCAAGGAGCTGCAACAACTAAGGGAAAAATTAAAGACTCTACAAACAGAGCTTCTTCAATGTAAATATCTCTTGCAAGCGGGTAGCGTGAAGTGCAAAGGCAGTGAGCACTTGTTGAAAACTAAGGACAACATACTACAGAGCACATGTTCAGAACCTGAATACCAGAAACAAGAAGTAGCGCAACCGACAACTTGCTCTTTGGAGAAGCTTTACCAGCTTAAGGACGAGCTGCAGATGTGTCGTCGTGTGCGCCAAGAGCTTTGTGAGCGCGATCATTTACAAAAATTGCAGTTGCGACGTGCTCGCAAGGAATTGCTCACCAGCATCGAGGCATTCAATGTGCGCATGCGTGATCTAATTTATTCGTCGAGGTGGAGAGTTAGTAGCTCTTTGCAACTGGAATTACCTATACATCCAACTCGGGAAGATGTTGCTCAACGCCATAAACTGTTGCAGCTATTGCGCAGCAAAATGGATATAGAATCAAGTGCTGTTAAAACTAAAATCGGCACCGATTTATCAAAAGCAAATCATGCTGCATAAACACATATACATATATATATATACTTTCCCTCCCTTTTTGCATAACAATATGAAGATTTGTCTTATTTTAATGTGCCAATACATTGATCTCCTTTTTGTGAAAAGCTTTACTCCATGAGGAAATGAATATCTACTATAAAAAGTAGGACGTAAAGGTCTAGTAAGCCCGTTACAGAAAACGTTTAATTATATGTGGTTGTGATGGTGATAAGTTTTTGGTACGAAAATCAAGAATTATCAAATTATACTTGTATATTAAATTAGCTTAAGATATCTTAAACAAGCAATTGTACCAGTAGGAGTTATTTTTCCTTCCATGGACATCGGTGTATTAAATAATAATGTTATATAAGGCTTGAAATAAATCGGTGTGCGTATAATTAAGGCAAGTTATCTAAGTTTTATGGTCAAGGGTGTTAGGCCAACTAAGCTACCAAGCTCTTATGAAGGCAAGTTGAATTGACAATTGAAAGTATATGCTGGAAACTCAGACAATAGGATGTTCTGGTGAAATTGTGCAATGGAGTGGAGTTTAAAAGCTCATTACCAAAGGAAGTCAACACAGCACAAAATGAAATAAGTAGCAACAAATTGTTGAGACTAACAATACAAATATATGTGTACTGCACAGCTGCACATAGTACATTACATATGTGCGAAGTTAAATTGAAAATTGAGCAGTAAATTGTATAAATTAAATAAGTTACGATTCTGAATAGGACTCAACGCATACTCGTATATAGTTAACAACTAACCATTTAACAATGTACTTCAATCAGCCTTTTGGATTTCAACAAGCAACATTTCATAATAAAACGCTTAATAAATGAAAGGTATTTATTTCATCTATTAAAAAAAGAGTCTCGTAGAAGAAATGTTATTGTGTTTTAATTAGTAAATAGGAATCTCACTCATAGGATATATTAGTTTAGTGTGAATGCATGAAACACACAGAAGGTGGCATCGCAGACACCTATCTACCTATCTACCTATCTATTACGTCTGTTAGTTCATTCTACTTTTCGATAACTGGAATAAGTTCAGGTAATCAGGAAGGAGCGCTCAGTGCAATGGATATGTTAGTTAATTAAGCATAATTGGTACAATTTTCTTGTTAAGCTTAATGCACAATGCACAGCACAACATACATTAAACAGCAAAAAGAAATTTGTAATGTAATGCTGCTGGCAAGCCAATGCCGATTGCACCAGGAACTAGTATTTAACGACAATCTTGGAGGACGTTAAAGAGAAATAACATCAAGTAATGACAACTAGAAAATGGCGAGGCAACCACGAGTTCATTTTGAAAACAACGCGGATGTCAGCCACGGAAACCAGTGGAAAGGCAACACAAACGAAAGCGTAAAATAAGCAAATTGAAAGTTTTACGACATGCCACACAGAACGTGCAACATTAAAGTTATAAATGGAGTGGGAGGGCGGTAGGTCGTGGGAGGATGAACTGCAATCGTTTGCAGCCAAAGCAAATCAAATTTGTATGCACAACATAGCAGAGCAGACAGAGCTCTGTGCCATTGCCATTGCGATTGTGATGGACTGCAATGTTTTCTATACGCTTCCGCTTCCGGCAACAGCGAGGACGGCGACGATGGCGGGCACTTGAGAAAAAACTGTCAGCGCCAGCAACAGCAGCAGCAGCACCATCACCAGAGAGCAGCGGGGAGTATTTCGCCGAGTCATTTCTCTGCAATATTTATATGCAGTATCCTGCACCCTAACCCCCTCCAAACGTTTGACAAATTTTTCTGCAAATTTCAGCGCAATTGGTTCGTGTTGCTTTAGTCGAAGCTTAGTACCGTTTTGTGGCCTATGCAAAACCGGAAGCTGTTGTTGCTGCTTCTGCTGCAACAGCAACTGCAGTTGGACATTTCTGCTTACATTGCTGCCCAAAATGTTGCTGAAACAAGAAATGACATTCCTCCCACAGGTCGAGGGCTAAATACCCTTCCGAGCTGCTGAAAGAGTGTCGATAATTAATATACGGGTACATATAAATATGAAATGTGTTTAAGTTATATAATATTGCTGCTTGTGCAGATAAAGATGATTATTATTAATACAATTTTTTTACTTTGCTACATTATCTCCGACTGACAGCAGGTCAGTACTAGTCTCATATGGGTGCCAGACCTGCTCAGGACCCATCCTCTGGACCTCCCCAGGGACTAGCCGGATACTACAACCACACTCCAAATGAAATAATAAACTGTGAAGTTTATCTTTATCCAATTTAATGATTGTCCATGATGGACAGTTTTAAATAAAATACGAAGACAAAAAAATATGGGTGCCAGAACACCGGAATATTGAGGGAAACTGAATTGCAGACGAGCTGGCAAGGGAGGGAACAAACGCAAGCATCCTACCCGAAAGGGAACATCCTTTCGGCTCCTGACGCGCAACCATGCACGTTCTATGGCAGAGCAACGCTGGGAGAGCACAAAATCGTGTGTTCGAGCAAGGCTTACCTGACCATCCCTTCACATAAAAAGGACATTAAAGCTTGCAAAGTTAAAAAGGACTGAAATCTCCATGGTGGTGGGACCCTCACGGGCCCGATTGGCAGACATGCATCGAGACTGAACATCCCGTTGAACGCTTGCAGCAGAAGCTGCAGAGACGAGGAGGAGAAGAAGAAAAGTGCAGGTGCAGATGCACGGTACGCACCCTAGGGAAACCTTTCTTAAACGGCCTCTCGGAAGTAGAGAACTCATGGACCTAGTACAATTTTTAAATACCACCAGACAGCTGAAGACCGTTCAGCATAATTAGGGATTACATGGTATTACAACGGACCTCCAATGTCTAAGTGGGCGGGTGAACACCAGCACTCCAGCCATTTCAAGCTTGCCTAACATTATCTCTATTTGTTATGAATCATTTGGGTATAATTTAAGGAAGTGAAACATGACTTTTTTATTGTTAGCCATCACATTGTAGTATGTATATTCTTTTATATGGTGTTTACGTGTATATTTATTTTTGAAAGTGTATGTTTAGCTTAATTAGTTCTGATAAATTTTAGGAGTAATTCGGGCGAAGTACGAGTAGTTACGAGATGCTATTGGATATTGGGTTTAAAGTCTCCTGAACATCAACTTTTGACTTCAAATACTTCATATTTGTTGCATTTTCATTCATTCGTAATCAATATACTTGTAAATACGTATGTATGCCGGACTGGGGCTGGATGATTTCTCTTCTCTCTTTTTGGTCCTTAATTAATCTAGTTATGAACTAGCGTTAAGTGTTCCCTTCTACTCACTGGCTAATAAATTGCTGGAGGCGTTAATAGACAATATTGTATATTTTTTTATTTTTTATTTTGAGTTTTTCTGATCTTTTAAGTTATATATAAAATATAATGTATTAATATTTTATATATTTACGGTTTTCTCAAATCAAGTAGAATAAAAATAAAATATATTATTGTCGTCTGTGAATACAATTAGCTGTGACAATATTGGTAAACTGTTCATAGTATGTATAGGTTTCGTAGATGCCCCATCGTGTTGTAGGGTGCGAAAAGGTGCCTTGGGCATGCACGTTCAACAGCCGTTTTAACGGCAATTGCATTATCAGTAAATTATATCTGCGGCTGGTGGCGCGTGTCTCGCTTGCCGGCCATGTTTATGTTGGCACTGTTGCCTGTCCAGCTGTTGGCCATATTTGTAGTTGCGTTGCATGTTTGTTGTCCTTGCCGTTGCTGCTGTTGATGTTGTTGTTGCTGTTGCTGCTGCTTGGTTGCTACTCCTGCCCTAGTCGTTGACTGTTTGCATGCCATTTTCGGCGCTTTTCTGCTGATTTATGCAAAACCGTGGCATTTTTCAATTGCATTTCCATTCTCTCCGCCCTCTCCCCTCCAGCTCTACCTCCGAATAAACACTCTCCTGGGCACGCGTGTTTCCTTTGCTTGTTTGTGGAAATGCGTCGCTGGTTTAGCGTTCATACACAAGTATTTGTTTGTATGCGAGCGTGTGTGTGTGTGTGTGTATGTATGTGTGCGTCAAACAATTTTCACACATACGTATGTGAATCTTTGCTTTGAAATGGGCAACACATCGCTTGGCTCATTGTTGCCACTGTTGGCTCTGTTGTTGCTGTTGTTGCTGTTGTTGCTGCTGCTGTAGTTTATGTGTCGTCGCCGTTTTGCCAGAAGTGTGCATCCTTTTGCGCGGATTTGAAGCTGCAGCTCTGCATTTTATGGTCCGCACACACCAGCAAATGTGTGTGTGAGTGTGTATCTGCGTATTTGTCTGGAGGTGTGCTCGTATGTGTGCTCATATATCTACGCTTGGTTTTGCGCATTTACTGCTTAGTTATAACTTTCACGTGGGTTGTTTTAGTAGTTTAGTCTCAGCCCCCACCCCTATGGCTCCACCGAGCTGGAGCATTTAAATTATATGCCATAAAAGTTGTATAAAGTGCCATGCATAGAAGATTTGCGCCGCTGCGAGTCAAAGTTTTATATGATCGTTTATATTTATGCCACTTATTACATGGCAAGTTTACTATAGTGGGAGAGATTTTTTATATACAAGTCGCGTATAAAAACATTGATTGATATTTCCAACTGAAAGTGCTGTTTGCTATATGAAAATATAAAAAAGATTGGCCAGGTGAAGATATACGCATTGAAATCTCAACTGTTTTTACATTTCTTTCTATTTATATATATATAAACTAGTATCGGGATTGTTTCGAAAGATATGATATTTTAAAAAGCTATTTCAATTACATGCGAAATCACAGCTGTGTCCCACATTTGCCATCGTTGGAATGGGTGTAGACAAACATACTCGTATTTGGGTAAAAGGGGTGCCAAACACTGAGGATTGTGTTTTTTTAAAATTTTATTTTACTCCGGACTCACATTTAATTTTGTAAACAGCCCACGATTTGTCACATTAAATATGATTCGTTGCATCGAATGCTGTTGCTAATTCGCACAAAATAGGCGTGAAATGTGGTTGAGTCGGCGCTGTGGCTGCGCCCTTGTAACGCTGCAAATTAAAATTATGCACTTTGAGAGCCCGAATTTAGGGTTAATCATACGCACGGTGACATCCTGTTGCATAATTAATGCTAATGTACATAACTATTATGACTGGGAGAGCAGAAAATGCGCATAAGCTGTCGGACTCTTTATTCAATAACATTTCGGCTTGTTAAATAAATTATTCGCGCCATTGCACAGTGTCAGCAACGTGCTTTGGCAAAGGATTAGCCAACTGGGCAATTTATGAGCATTGATGTTAATGCAAGTGAAAACAAACAAAGAATTTATTGGCCTGCATAACTCAATGTATTTGGCAGTGGAAGGCGTCCGATGACGAACACGGTACACAGAACACGGACGACAGTGATATATATAATGCGCCGGGCCCAAGTAAGTACGAGTAAGTACGGATGTGAATGCAACCGTTCAAATTTATGGATGAGTGGCAACGACGGGCGGCCAAGGCCGCATAAAATGCCAAAAATGAGTGCAAGAAGCGCGTCTGCAAATGCGAACAAAGTGCGTCAAAGTTC